TATTACTATTATTATCATTATTATTGTTTGTTATTATTATTATTGTTATTATAATTATGAGAGTGAGAAAGGAATATTATTATTTTTAGTTTCATTTATTATTTATTATTTTATTACTATCATTGGTATTATTATTAAGAGAGTGAGAAAGGAATATTGTTATTATTATTATTATTATTATTATTTATTATTATTTTTAATTTTTTTTTCTATTATTTTTATTTATTTACTATTATTATTATTATTATTTTTATTATTATTATTATTATTATTATTATTATCATTATTATTATTTGTTATTATTATTATTATTATTATTATTGTTATTATAATTATGAGAGTGAGAAAGGAATATTATTATTATTTTTAGTTTCATTTATTATTTATTATTTTATTACTATCATTGGTATTATTATTAAGAGAGTGAGAAAGGAATATTGTTATTATTTTTATTTTTCCATTATTTTTATTTATTTACTATTATTATTATTTTTATTATTATTATTATTATTATTATTATTATCATTATTACTATTTGTTATTATTATTATTATTTATTATTATTTTTATTTTTATTTTTTTATTATTTTTATTTATTTACTATTATTATTATTATTATTATTATTATTATTATTATTGTCATCATCATTATTATTATTTGTTTTTATTATTATTATTATTATTATTATTATTGTTATTATTTTTATGAGAGTTGGAAAGGAATATTATTATTATTTTTATTTATTAATTATTATTTTATTATTAATATTATTATTATTATTATTATTATTATTATTATTGTTATTGTTATTTTTATGAGAGTGAGAAAGGAATATTATTATTATTATTATTATTGTATATATATTGTTGTTATTATTATTGAGAGTGAGAAAGGAATATTATTACTATTATTATTATTATTATTATCATTATTATTATTTTTAATATTATTATTAATATTATTATTATTATAAATTAACCAAATACACCAAGTAGGACAAAAGTAGTTTAGGACTAGAAATAGTGTTGGAAAAAAAATTAAAGTAATAGTAATTTGTTCATTTTAGTGCATAATAATGTTAAGGGGGAAACTGTCAGCCATATTCATTGACCTCCATTTGGTACGTGTGCCCCTAAGACATAAGATTGTTCTCAAAGTTGAGAAAGTTAGATGAGTCCTAATCCACCCTAATACCTGAGCATAGTTGGTGTTCCATTATTATTATTATTATTATCATTATTATTATTGTTATTGTTATTATTATGAGAGTGAGAAGGAATATTATTATTATTATCATTATTATTATTATTATTATTATTTATTATTATTATTATTTTTATTTTTATTGTTATTATTATTCAGAGAGTGAGAAAAGTCTTCAACATCTTGTGACACAGTTCAGAGGAATAGGACTGAGTATGAATACAGGGGAAAGAAAGTATTGAACAAAAAAATATCTATAACAATAAGTTATTTCTTATCTTTTAAAAATAGATATGTAAGAAGCTCTTCTTGTTCGTATACAGTATCAGAAATGGTACTTACAAGAACTTGAGGAGGCATTTCCTTCAAAATGGAATAAAACCTAGGTAAAAATAATAAGAATAATCCAATAAAGAGTAATTAAAATTTTTAATGAAGGGTTCATGGGAACACTGGTCGCATTCCTTGTCATGCTGTTTCTGTGGAAGGCATTAAAGATGTGGTAGCATTTTTGGAGAACTATGCTGAAGACTACGCCATTTTACTACCTGGGAGGATACCTGGAGTGAGGGATTATGGGAAGGCCAAGCTATTGCTGTCCAGTGTGTCCCGAGGCATGGTTTACCGGCAGTATGCTGATGCTGGTAGGGAACATACTCTCTGTGAAAGTTCCTTTAAAAGAATATGGAGAAAGTATGTTCCCCACATTTACAGCATCAAGCCAATGACGAACTTATGCTGGACGTGCAAAAAGAACAGCACTGCAATTTTAAGGAATGCTGGAGGTGAGATTGAGCATCAGTCTGAGGTACATTTATTATTATTAACAATGTAATTATTCTTGCCTGTAAAATGCTATCCCTTAGTGAGTAACTTTGTCTTTAGTTAACTTGTTAATTTCATATTACTTTCAAGAATAATGATACTACATGAACATACAGTACTATTCCTTCATGTGTTAGTAGTATCTAATGGTATTTAAAACATGTTAATGTGTATTGTGTTCTTATTATTAGTATAACTTACCTTAATCTCTTTTTGTTGTTAGAAGAAAAGGAGACATCATAGGGTTAAATGGAAGCATTGACGAGGTGGCGGGAGAGGAGCAGGAAGAGGAGGTGGCCAAGGAGGAGGAGATGGACAAAAAAGAGGGGCAGCTGGCCAAGGAAGAGGGGGAGGTGGCCATGGAAGCGGGGGAGGTGGCCGAGGAAGAGAGGGAGGTGGCCAAGGAAGAGGCCAAAGAGGAAGAGGAGGCCCTGCTACAACAGTAAGAGAAAGAAACATCATTAAACATAACAATAACAACAAATTTTTCATAGGATTCATCCACAAGTGCAAAGACAATAAACTATTTTAACGTTACATGTGAAGAACTTAATTATACTTCTAAATAAAAAAATATATATATTACCTGTAAACTCAAGGAAAAGCGATGGTTGGATTTGAATGAAGTATGGGGATGATCCGTGTTCAAAACAGTCCATAATCAGGACTTTTAGCACTAGAGGACGTAATAATAACTCTGTAACTAGGTAATGAAAAAACTTACTAGTATTTGAAGCCACCATGAATGGCAGGGCTTTAGACAACTCTTACGATGTCCATTATACAAGAAATGATAGTTCAAATGCTGTGAAAAGCAAGTCAAAAGTGCTTCTTTCTTCATTCCCCGTTTATTAATTGATTTGGGTGTGGTTTTTCCTGGTAGGCGTGGTTTCATTTACTACATGAACGGGCATGACACGGAAACATTGAAAATAACTTAAAATGGCTTTTCTCTGTACTAGTATTCCAGAGCAATCGTCCAAACAGCATCCATAACTTCCAAATTTTATTGTGCATTGTCATAAACGGGATATTGCTGGAAAGGAATTTTTTTCTCTATCTGTGAGTACCAAATTTAAAAATCAGATCTGTATTGTGTAATCAATTTCTGACTGGAAGTGCATACTTGTTTATCAATGCATGTTTTATGCATTCACCACATAAGTTATTTTGTTGCATAAGTTAATTACTATATACATGTACTGACAGACATACATGTAAATGTAGGGGGCCTCTACTGTAGTTTGAAGCACCCAATGTAAAAATTTGTACTGTATAACCTCTTGTGGCAATATTCTAATAGATTCATGTAATTTTGATTTGTAAGAATTAGTGTACAATTATGATTGTTTTAGTTTTTGAGCTTTGCGAGACTTTTTTGTCCAAGGCTATAGCAAAGATATAATATTAATTTTTTTATTTTGTTAATTGAAAATTCACTGCGCGTTACAAAAGTAATAACACATTTTGTATATCTTTGAAGACATGACGCCATATTTAGTATTTATAGTGCATAAATTGGGTTTGTTTTTGCAAACTGACTAGCTATACTCTTATGCAGTGCTGTAACCTTCTTGATCCAAAATCCCTGTACACCGTCAGGTCCTGGAGTTTTCCAACTAGGCATCTCCTTACATTGCTTCATAACTCTACCTATACCAATACTCAGATTATCCTGCGTCACTGATGTCCCACCTTCCTCAATCTCTCTTAACCATGTAGCATTCTGATTGAAATCCTTTGCCGTTCCCCAAATCCCCTTCCAAAATGACACACTTTGCTTTGCATCAGGCCCAAACCCTTCCTTTTCAATCCCCCCATCTAGCTGCTGGTAAAACCTCTTTTGATTAGAATTAAAAAGACAATTTTGAGTATACTGCTTGATTCGCTGCTCAT